TTGCAGAACCAGGGATTGAACTCAGGCTCTTGTGCTTGCCAGGGGAGTGCTTATTCCACTGAGCCATCTCCCCGGCCTTTTTTTGTTGTTGTTGCGGAACCAAGGATTGAACTCAGGTCTTTGTACTTGCCAGAGAAGCGCTTATTCCACTGAGTCATCTCCCCAGCCCCAACCCAGAAATTCTTATGGTGAGAGTTATTTTTTTTGGTGTTTTAATAGTATCTACAGGGTCTCACTATGCAGCTCGGACTCATCAATCCTCCTTTTTTTTTTGGTTTTTTCTGTGGAACCGGGGATTGAACTCAGGCCCTTGCACTTGCTAGGGAAGCACTTACTCTACTGAGCCATCTCCCTGGCCCAATCCTCCTGTTTTCAATCTCCCTAGCGCTGGAATTATAGGTGTGTACCACCATGCCCAGACAGTGCAGTGGTGATTGAACCCCAGTCTCTGTGCTTGCCTAAACAGGTGCTTAGTCTGCTGAGCTATCTCACTGGTCCTGTGTATTTATTTGAAATAGGTTCTTGCTACGCAGTTCAGATTTGCAGTGATCCTCCTTGTCTCACCCTTCCCAGTACTGGGATTACAGGCTGCACCACCAAACCCAGTTTTGGAGCAGCCTAGTATGCCCAGGATTCAGGGGCCTGAAGGCATGTGGTAATAGCAGTTGAATTTGGGTCCTTATACTTGCCAGGCAGGTGCTTAGATCATCAAGCTATCTCCCCAGCCCCAGATATTTGTTTTATTATTCTTTTCTTTTTCTTATTTATTGTACTGGGATAGAATCCATGGCCTCACACTTTAGGCACAAATTTACTCTACCACTGAACTACAGGTAGGCCTGATAAGAGTTTGTTAAAAACATGTCTATGGTTACCTTAGGTGGCACATACCTGAAAGCCCAGCACTTGGGAGGCTGGGGCAGAAAAATCACTGTGAGTTTGAGGCTAGTCTTTGTTACACAGTGAGAGTTCAAGGCCTGCCTGAACTACAGCGTGAGACCTGTATCAAAACAAATGAAAATACGTCTAGGGGTGAGAAAATTCTAACATGTTTAAATTTCTCTGAATAGTCTCTCAAAAGGTACATTTGTGTGCTGGGTATGCAGCTTAGCCATAGAACAATTGCCTAGTAAGACCTCAGGTTCAATCCTTGGCACCTCAAACAAAAAACAAAAGGTGGGCTGGGGAGATAGCGAAGTTTGATCCATAGTACAAAACAAAAACAAAAACCCTTAACTCAAAAATGGAAAGGTGTCAGGGCCGGGGAGATGGTTCAGTAGGGTAAGTGCTTGGCTGGCAAATGCAAGGATCTGAGTTCAATCCCCAGTTCTGCCAAAAAAAAAAAAAAAAAAAAAGAAAGAAAAAAGAAAAGAAAAGATGCAACTGAAGCTCTCTCAAAGATCCCCACTGCTTTTTCCAGACTTTTTTTCTCTTGTTTTTTGAAACAGGATGTCACTATGTGGTTCAGGGTAGCCTCAAACTAAAGGTGATCCTCCTGCCCCAGCCTCCCAAATGCTCGGATTACAGGCATGTGCATCCCACCTGGCTCTTCCAGACTCTTCAAAAGTTTGCTGTTATCATTGCTTAGCTGCCTCCAGTCTTGCCCCTTCTAAATCACACTCCATGTAGGCCTTGACAATACATCTTTCTCAAACACAAATCTGACCATATCACCCCAACTCCCCCTAAAAACTTTAAATTCTCTTGTACTTTCAAGATAAAAGTCAAGATTCCTATGCATAGAAATTAGAGGCCCTCTGCAATCTGAATCTACTAGCTTCATCTCAATAAACCAGTGATGCTTAGTAGTCTACACTGGCCTTCCCTTCTAGTGTCCTTTCACCTCACTTACAAATCCTTTATTACTTCCCTGTCATCTCACCCAGGACGCCTTACCAGTCAACTACACACACATCTCTTCTGCTCTCCTGGGTACCCTGTAATTCCTCTATCACAATACTGATAAGCAGCATCCTAGTATTTTCATTGCCAACTGGTTCATAGACTATGAGTCCTCTGACAGGAGGAACCCTAGCTTGCCATTCTTGCCCTAGTCCCAGATGCAAGCACTGATAGGTATTTAGTAACTGTTCCATCAGTGTAGCCAAGTCAAATACTCAAGATCATTGCCTTATACCCAACCACACTCCCGTAGAAACTACATTCCTCACCTTGATGGCAAACACAAGAGCCATGACTCCCAGGCAAGAGCAGCCACAGATAATGCTAGTAGCTGCCAAGCAGCGGAGGCGGAGCCAGCAGCAGCGGATGGGGGATGGAGAATGAGCAGCTGCCATGTTGCTCACCACAATCTCCACTGCCTTCTCGTCCTCCATCACCTGTGGGCGATACAGTCAAGGTACTTGTAAACCCAGCCAATGAGCCCTTGACCTGGCTTGCTGACTCCACCCCTCTGAGAGCCTGATATCCTCATAGCCTACCTCAACTCTCAGGAATGCTACCTTACTTAGAAATTCCTCTAGGACTAAGACCAGGAAAGGACGTATGTGGCTAGACTCTTTTACCCTTAGCTTAAATTCTGAGTCTTTTAGGCAAGCATATGTGTATCTATAACTTTTGTGAAGCCCACCGTAGGAGAGATTAAGAATCTTAAACACTTAAAACCACATGATTTTAAACTGCATTTCAAGGGTCATAAAGTTCCCTGAAGTTTCCCCAGAGACTGATATTGAGAGTCAATGAGTAGGAACCTACATCCTGCACCCCACTCCAATAAGCTACCACTTCACATGAAAATATCAGTTGTAAGGCCAGCAACATAGCTCAGTGGACTAAGTGCCTGCTTAGGCAAGTGCAGGGACTGGGGCTCGATTCCTGGAACCAAATGCCCCCGGGTACCACAAAGACTGTACACCTGTAATCCCAGCATTGGGGAGACTAAAAACAGGAGTATCAATATGAGTCCGAGCTGTGTAGTGAGACCTTGTAGCAGATACATTTAAGAAAAAAAGTTATAGAGATGCAGAAAAAGTACACATCTAAACCCTAAGAGCTGAGGAAATCAAACACCAGAAAGACATTTCTTCTCCAAGTTTGAGCTTTTTTTTTTTTTTTTTTTTGGCAGGACCAGGGATTGAACGCAGGACCCTGGGCTTGCCAGGCAAGCACTTATTCTACTGAGCCATCTCCCTGGCCCCTGGAGCCTCTTTTCTATGTTTACTCCTTGTCATCCATGCAATGCAGACCACACAAAACATTGAGTCCAAATGACCTTACTGCCCTCACAGAAACTTGCATGATATTCCACTCATTTCTCATCTAATTCTCAGGCCCTCTAACCTTCAGTATCAAATCACCTTTCCACCCTCCAGCCACTTTACTATAGCTAGACAAAATCAGTTCCTGTAGTTCCCTGAAATCAAGACAAGGATACAAGTGGCAAAACAAGCAGAGAGCAAAGAGTGTGTGCCACAAAGCTGTAGGGGGTTAGGTATGAGGAAAAAAAAGACAAAGGCAGCAGGGGGAGAACTCAAGAAGAGGGCCAAGGGGTCAGACAGAAAAATGTAAACACGAACAGGGACTCTTACCTGGCTACAGCCCTTGAGGAACTGAGTTTCGGCTCCTGCCTCAGGTTTGATTTGGCTCAGGTGGAGATGGAGCTGACTCAGGGCTCCTAGCCCAGAGGCGGGGCTGAGTAGACAGCCATCATCTGGAGCCAGAGAGGCTGGGAAAGGGGTGTGGCTGACTCAAACCAGTTGGGCTAGATGGAAGAGGGGAGGGCCACAGGATGAAGCTAGCAGTAGGTAGGACTCCTATCTTCAGGAGAAAGGAAAGGAAGCACCTGAGCAAGAGTGTTGGTTAAGAGGAACAAGGCTGAGGCAGATCAGGAACCAAAGCAACAGAAGCAGGGAGAGGACAGTATATCTGAATTTACAACTAAGACTAGAGAAACCCTACCAGCAGATCAGATATACCAGCGTTCCCTCTTCTTGAGGATGGAGGTGTGTGCTCAAAGGTATACAATCCAGGATTAGAGACTTGGTACAAAGGTCTTTACAAAAGAAAGGGAGAAAATACCAATGCCCAAGTTCCCACCCATCCGTCCACACCAGAAAATCAGAAGTTTCCTTACGCGGATGCTTGTACAGAAACTAAGTTTATTATTTTTTCTCCTTAAAAAAAAAAAAAAAAAAAAAGAAAAAAAACTCATTGTAGAGAAGCCCCTTCCCTTTCCCATAAGGGTATGGGGCTATGAAAGACAGCTGGGGAATCAAGTACAAGGAGGTGGGACAAAGACTATCTTGCCACCCTTAACACTGCCCAGCCACACAGGTGGAAGGGAAGGATTGTGATGAGCCACATTTCCATGACAGTCAGTTGCCTACCCCCTACTTTGGTGGAAAGAAGGGAGAAGGCCCTTATGTCTCCCTGGAGGCTTTCCCCCTCAAGACTTCAAGTAGTGGTTAACAGAGTCAGGCCTGGTCATGGAGGGAGAGTGGCCATGGTGGGAAGCCTAGGTGAAGGGCAGCCCACTCACGTCTTGGCTTTCCGGCCTCTGTGACTAACAGTAGGGCCAGACAGGTGGGGAGGGGCACCACTGCGCAGGATGCGTTGGTCCCCTTGGTTGGTGGTCCCAACAAGCCTGCGGGGCCCAGGCCGTCGGCGTAGGCTTCCATCCCCTTCCTCTTCCTCACCTGAGGCCTCAGGCTCAGACTCTTCCACTGAACCCTCGGGCCCCAGGGGACTTGGGGGTTGTGCACGGCCCCGTTTTGCCAACCCAGAACCACCAACTGGGGCCCCTGCCCGTTTGCGAGGCACCTTTTCAGTCTCTAGCGGGGGAACTAAGGACCCTGGGCGTAGCCGGGTTGAGCGCAGTTTTGGGGCTAATGAGACCACAGGAGGTGTCAATTCTAACCCGCCTGGCCCACTATCTGCTACATCCAGATCATCTTGAATTACAGCCACCACCATGGACCCTTCATTCTTTCGTCCCCGCATTCCCTCTGCTTCAAGTCGCAGGCGAGCCAGGCGGGTGAGAGGGCGGCTTCCATCCTCATCAGAAGAGCTACCCTCACTTTCCCCCTGGCCCTGGTGTTGCCGCCGCCTCCCCAATCCACAGCTCTCAAGGACAGAAGAGCTGTCACGGTCCAATACAGGGAGCTGACTGGCCCGAGGGGATGGTGGATTCTTGGGAGGTCGGCCCCGCTTCCGCTTGGGTGGGGACATTGAAATGGTGACTGTGGTGACAGTGTTGGCGACAGGAACAGTAGGACAGGTTAGCAGTGGCAGGGGTGGTGGCAGTGGTGGTTGTGGGAGCTGCTGTGTCCGGCTCTCTAAACTGCCATCCCCTGGAGAGGAAACGGTCCCAGGGATGGGCAAATCTCGTGCCTTGGGGGGGCGCCCACGCCTTTTCTTCTCCACAGGTGACAGGATGATGGGCTCTGGTCTGTGAGCTGGTGGGGGTCCAGGAAGCTGGGATTCAGGAACAAGCTGAGGCCGCAGGACAGGCTCTGCAACAATTAGGGTCTCAGTCCCAGGGACTGGATCAGTCCCATTGGTCTTCCCTTTAGAGGTGGATAAAGTTGCCTCATCCACCCCACGTCCAGCATCTGCTGGAGACCTGGTCTTTTTGGGGGGCCTCCCCCTTCGACGTTTCACAGCAGGTGGAGAGATGGCAAGCAGTGCTCCTTCTCCATTCTCTGGGCTGCTCGTTCCAGCCACCCCCAGGTCAATGTGACGTCGAGCGATGAAGGGCTGAGTTGGGGTGGGCAGTGAGGATGAGGGAGCAGCTTCACTGGGCCCACTGTTGGGAGGTGAGGACTCTGGCCCAGACATGCTTCGGGTAGATGGGCTTCCTGGGCTGGCACTAATCTCAGAGACACCAGGCACTAAGGTGCTGGCAGTTCCTCGCTGCTGACGTCGTCGCCTCACAAGTTCCTTTTCCTCTACTACAGTTACTAGCCGTCCCGGTAGCTTTCGAAGCACTTTGGGGCCTGGAGGTTGCCCTGGTCCACCAGTCCCCTGACCCCTAATTTCTACATCAGCACTGGTTCGACGCCGAGGGGGCCGGATAGATGAAGGACCCTCAGGAGAGGAGGTATCTGAAGACGATGTTGATGGAACTGTAGCTTCAGCTGTACCAAGTTCTTGTGGTTTCTCTGGGCTGGAGGTTGGGGTGTGAACCTCTACCAACTCTTCTGAGTTCCTATTAGCCTCCTGGAGTGGTTCATCAGATGGTAGTGAGGGTGGGAGCTCCAGGCCATTGCTCTCACTCAAACTTGTGGACAGCTCCTCACGATCCAGCACTGTAATGTTCCCCTCAGCAAGATCTCGTATCTCTTGCTCCTGACCATTGGGGATGCTGCCAGCCTCTGGGGTTGGGCTAGATGCAGGAGGGAGAAGGGGAAGGTTCTTCTCTGACACGGGCAGGATCTCAACAGCAACTGGCAATAGATCCTTAGGGGGTATAAGAGTAAGCGGGGAAGTTTCAGAACTGGTCATACCAGCCATCTCCAGGGGCTCTGTAGATGCCAGTGCTTGTGCACAAAGTTCTGCTTCAGGCCCCAAGCCCAATGAGAGGTTAGTAACTGGAGAAGAGATGGGCACAGAAGGTGAATCAAGAAGAAGTGGGGAAGGAGGAGTTAAGAGAGAAGTTTGGGCTGGTGGTGGAGTATGAGGTGGTGGTGGAGGGGTACAGGCAGCAGGAGGGGTACAGGCAGGAGAACAGGAAGGAGGAATCTGTGGAGGAGGTGGGGGAGATGGTGAGATATGGACAGGAAGAACAGTTATTGGATTTGGGGCTGAAATGGGTATTGAGACAGGGACTGGGGCAGGAACTACAGTAAGAGCTGAAGCCTGAGTAAGCCGAGGCCTAGGTGCTGGCCTGGGAACCCGTTCCCTGGCAGGACTACAGCGGGGGGGAGTGGAAGTGCTGCGGGTATGATGGGTGGAAGTGACAGGAGTGTGATTTGTCCCTTGAGTTTCGGCCCGGGCTCCACGAAGACGCTCACTGACACGAGTCCCCAGCCTCTCAGGGGCCTTGACTTTCTTGTTGCGCCGGTGGCTGCCTCCACTAGTCCCACAGGAAATCTCATCCCCAGCCCCTGGCCCTTCTTCCTCTTCTTGGGGTAGGCGAAACACCTCCTCCTTGGCTTGGTCCAGGTCTTTTCGGGCAGCTTCCACTTGTTCCTACCAACAACACAGCCCCCAAGCGTGGTCAGTAGGAGTCAAGTAGAGCAGAGTGAGTAATGAGCAGCAGCTTTCAACTACAAACCGCATGCCCCAGAAATACTCACTTCTGCCTGTTTGAGCTCCTCTCGGCTCACTTCTTCCAAAGAGGCTTCTAGGAATTTCATGGCATATCGCTCAATAGGGGTCAGCTACAGAGAGAAACAGAGGTCATGAACTAAGGATCTGACGCCCATGAGCACAAAAAGGGTTCTAATGGACCAGGGAGATGGCTCAGTGGAATAAGCACTTCCCTGGCAAGCGCAAGGGCGAGTTCAATCCCTGGTTCTGCCAAAAAAAAAAGGTCCTAAACCCAGAGTAAAATGCTGTTAAAAGAGGATGAAGGCAAAAACCAGTGCTTCCAACACTGACCTGCTCCACAAGGGCAGCAATCTCCTGCTCAGCCCGGGACATCTCTTCATCATCAGCTCCAACCCGACTGGCCTCCTCTCCCTCACCAACAGTAAATCCATCATTCTCATTAAATTCTGCAAGTTCAGCCACCTGTTCAGCCTTGGCCTGGGTGGCTGCACGGATATCTTCTTCATCCTCTGCCCGACACAATGCCTAGTTTGTACAGAAGAGAGAAAAAGATTTAAAGGAGGCCAGTGAGTTAGCTCAGCATGTGACATGCCATACCAGAAACCAAACCTGGGTCCTTGTCCTTGCCAGGCTGGCACTTAGACCACCAAACTATCTCCATGGCCCCTATTCCTATGGTTCTTAAACACCTCTCTCTATATATCTGGAGAAGGGCTGGGGATTTGGCTCAGCAAAAGAATGCTTGCCTAGCAATCTGGAAGCCCTGGGTTCAGTCCTTGGCACCAAAAACAAAAAATAAACCTCCCTATATATCTGGAGAATTTTGAAAAAACATACCTAGATCCACGACTCAAAAATTATGATTCAGTTGACTTTGAGAAGTTAGAAAATTAATCCTTTCAACCTTTTCAAGTTTTTTTTTTTTTT